TGGGTTCAGCAGCCGCTGGGTCCAGGATCTCACCTGAGCAGGTGCTCGGACAGGTGAGGCCTGAAGGCTCACACCCATCTTGGGGGTGGTCCTGGAGATAATCTGCAGTTGGTGAAACGAAACCTTGAGGGGAGGAAGGTCCCTGCCCCAGGTCAGGCAGGAGATCCTCCAACCATAAGGACCTCCAGTCGGAATCCCCAACTGCTCAGACACGGCACCTTGGAAATAAGATCTCGGGGAACAATATTCCAGTGAGAACTTCCCACGAGGTATGTCCTATTGTCATCTCCACTCCACAGAGGAGGAAACTGAGGCTCAGAGAAGCAGAGTCCCTGATCCCATCACACACGTCAGCAGCCGAGCCACGGCTGAGCCAGCACCTGCCCCCCAAGCCTGCACCCTCTTGACCACCAAGCTACATGACCTCTTAGGATGCTTACCAAAGCCCCACGGAGCTCAGATGTCCATTTCTCAGATGAGGGAACTGAAGCTGAGAGAGGTTCTGTCAATTCTCGAGGACACATGGGGGTGAGTGGCACAGCCAGGGATAGAAACCAGATATCTGGGCCCCAGAGCCCTGCCCTTGACTCCCCAAATCTCCTTAGGATCCCCCAAAGCAGGATGAAGCCAGCCCCCTCCTCTGTCACTGCAGCCCAGGCCTGTGACATGGGCTTCCCGTGAGTCATCTGACTAGATCACCGTGGCAACTTGTCATTGTCCCCACTTTGCAGATGAGGAAACTGAGACTCAGATTGATCTCGCACAGACCCACGTGGCTCCACATCAGCCCAGCAAGACTCCGCCCCCAGCTTCGTCCGGTCTCTGCAGCCCCTGTTGGCTGGAGACAAGGAGCTGGGTGTCGTGCTCATCACTCAAGATTGGACATGGGAAAAGCCAGAGCCTCTGGGGAAAATGAGGTCCTCAGGTAAGCAATTCACCGCCACTTTATCCCCAAATCAGTGGATTCCCAGCTCCCTCGGGCAGTCTCATAGCCTCCCCTTTGTCCCTCCTGCTGTAGCCACAAAACCTTGACTCTCTGTGTGCTTGTGTCTCTTCAATTCTATTTCTGTCATTCATCCATCCATCTGTTCACCAAATATATAGGCATCCCACATACCAGGCACTGGGAGGAAATCAAGGTTCAGTGGGGTAGATGGGCAATGAGTAGATAAACACACACATGGAGAGAGAGTTTCAGGCTGCGGTAAGTTTTAAAGAAAATACAACAGGGAGACATGCCAGGGAGTTGCCCTCAAGCTGTGAAAAGCCCCCCAGCCCTGCAAGCTGGAGGGCTTGTTCGGGTCACCTCCCCAACAAGACGCCCCTGAAGCATCTGGAACCCCATGCCACGGGCCAGCTTCTCCTGTCCGTCCACAAACACACACACACACACACACACACACACACAGACACACACACACACCCCGCCTGCCCCACCGCAGTCACAGCCTGCACCGTTTCCCCAAACATCAGGACGGACCCTCTGATCCATGTAGGATTATCCAGAAAACATCACACACTCTTACTCCACCCCTGTGCCAGACACTAAAAACACAGCCACGAATAAAATGTTCCCACCGTCTGACCCCTC